AATCAGTGTCTACTGTTTTTTGTACAAAGCTCAGTAAACCGTAGGTTTCATTTAGCCATTGTAGAAACCACAACTTAAAAACTTTGTGCCATGGTGAAGCTGAAAAGGAAAGATGAGCAGAATGTAGCCCCAAGAGTAGTTGCTTGCCTCATTAGTAAGTAATAGTCTAGCTATGTCTATTTATGGTTGTGTACATAGCTATGTACATACGTATCCAAATCTTCCTTATATAATTTTTAAACTTCTACTTGGAAAGTTTTATGAAGTCCATTTGTTTATGCTTTATGTGAAGTCATATGGGTAATAGCATTTCATTATAGTCAATTCACTGACAGTAGCTATATTTTTTTTGCCAAGAATTTTTTATTAGAGTAATTACACATTTCTGGAAAATTTCAAATGTGTAGATAATTGGTCTAAATGCATTTTTTATGGATTTATTTTTAAATAGGAAAATGATAAGTTCATATCTATATATGAATAAAGATAATTTGTAAATCAAAGAGCATAGCATTTATTTCTTCAAAAGATATTCTAATCTTGGGATCAGCAGATGACGTAATGGTTAAGTTGCGGGGATCCCACATAGTCGACCTTGGTTCAAGTCAAGGACCTGCTGGCTTAAAACTCCCATTGGGAGTATGTGTGTGCGTGTGTCCAAAATCCTGGAGGGGAATGGAGGAGAAGGGATTGTAGTGTGGTCATCCCCCTTGGGAGGTGATTTCTTGCGTTCTCTGTCTTTCTAGAGAGTGTATGCCCCCTATAGCAAAAATCTCTCTAAAAGAAAAAAAAAAAAAATCTAACTTTAAGAATATTTCTCTTGGGGCCAGCAGGTGGCATAGTGATTAAGACACTGAACTCTCACATGGCTGATCACTGTTCAAGTCCTGGAACCACTGGCTTGAAACTCACTTTGGGAGCATGTACCTGCATGTCCAGAATCCCAGGAGGAGAATGGAGGAGAAGGGATTGTAGTATGGCCATCCACCCTCGGGGATGATTTCTCACTTTCTCTCTTAATGTCTTTCTCTCTCTCTGTTTCCAGCCAGTGCACATGCCCTATGGCAAGAATATTTCTCTGAAAAAATGTGTAACATTTGAGTACAAAACAACACAACTATACAAGTGATCAAGAGCCAGATAAATTTTTGTTTTTTTTTTAAATTATTTTATTTAACTTTATTTATTCATTTGCTTACTTATTTTCAATTTGGTCAGAGGGGGACAGAGAGAGAGAGAGAAAGAGAGAGAGAAAGCAAGCTGCCATGTCTGGATTCAAACCATGGTCGACCACATGGGAGTCCAGTGCCCTTAACTACCACACCACCTGCCAGTCCCTCATTTTCTTTTCTTTTTTTCTTTCTTTTTTTTTTTTTATGGAGAGGTTTTCGCTATAGGGCGCGTGCACTCGCCAGACAGACAGAGACAGAGAGACAGTGAGAAATCACCCCCCAGGGGGGATGGTCACGCCTCAATCCTTTCTCCTCCATTCTCCTCTCTGGATCTTGGGCACGCACGCACATGCGCCCAGCGTGAGTTTGAAGCCACTGGGTCTGGGATGCGAACCGCGGTCTACTACGTGGAGTCCAGCGACACAGCCATTACGCTAACTGCTGGTTCCCTCCTCATTTTCTTTTAAATGGGAATATAAATGCTTTGCTAATAAGAAAGTTGATGTTGGAGTAGCCTTCAAAATAGCAACAATAGCTAATTAGGTAAGCAACTCTACTCTTGGAGCTACATTTTGCTCATCTGTCTTTTTTGGCTTCACCATGGCACAAAGTCTTTCAGTTTTGTTTCTACAATGGCAAAATGAAACCTACTGTTTTCTGAGCTGTGTATTGAATACATCAGATACTGATTTTCCTTGTACTCCAGTGCTGAGAAGAAAGCTTACAGTGTAATTAGTCTGTGTTGGTGCTTATCAAAGGGAAAATCCATATTGTTCATTGGGCTGAAACCTTGACTTCACAGAAGTCATCTATAGTGGCCCACCTGAGGTGGCACAGGCAGTAGGGCTCCACCACACAATGCTGGAGCCATATAGAAACACCTGGGGTTCAAACCTGGTTGAATAAATATGTGGGTGTACCTGCCCAGGGACCCTGTCTGGTTGTAAGGCTGAGGAGAAAACTGTGTCATGATAAGACCCTGCCAAGACACTTGTCTCTCCTTGTCTCTTACCTTACCTTCTCCCTCTTTCTGTCATGAAAAACAAATGAAAACTTACTAAAAATCCTGCAGAGGCCCCACTGCAGTAATGTGGGCTATTAAGATGCTGCCATTTTGCAGGCTGGGACCATGGGGAGCACAGGATTAGGTTCCAGCCCATCCTAAAGAACCCAAGTGGTAGCACACACCTGCAGTCCCAGCTACTCAGGAGGCTGAGACAAGAAGATCATGACACAGTGAGACCCTGTCTAAAATATCACACAAACACACGTATTCATGCACACCACGAAAAATAAATAAAGAATCTGCAGAACAGGGAATGTCCCAAATGTACCCTGAGAAACTCACTTTTCTCATGGACAGGAGCAGCAATTGCTGCTACCTACCCCAACATTTATTTGTAGAACTTAAAGCAGGCAGGTAGGGAGTTATTCTCCATAGGACTGCTACTTTAAAACATTATCTGGGGACCAGCAGTTAGCATAATGGTTATGTCGCTGGACTCCCATGTAGTCGACTGTGGTTCGCGTCCCAGGCCCAGTGGCTTAAAACCCCGGGCGCGTGTGCATGCATGCCCAAGATCCCGGGAGGAGAAGGGATTGCGGCATGGCCATCCCCCCTGGGGGGTGATTTCTCACTTTCTGTCTCTGTCTGTCTGGCGAGCGCATGCGCCCTATAGTGAAAACCTCTCAACAAAACAAAACAAAACAAAACAACATTATCTACAGGTCCACCAGAAATAAAATGTATTTTGATCAAAAATACATTATTAAGAGGTCAACAAAAGTTTCTGCCTTTTCTTAGTCTTCATGCTAATTTAAAACACCTTTTAAACAAAACTTTTTTTGGCCCAGTTCTATTGCCTGAAGGTTAAGGCATCCAGATTGTGCATGACTGACCCAGCAGTTCAAGACTCTGATGTGGTGTTTTGAAAAACGCACAGGATATTAGGTTTGCATTCCCAAAATCCTCACAGAAGAGTGAAATGGAGGAGAAGGGATGGAGGCATAACCATCCTCATGGGGGGTGCTTTCTCCTCTTTTTTCTCTCTGTCTCTCTCTGGCAAACACACACTCTCGCTAGGAAAACAAAACACAACATTTTTTTTGTTGGCTTTCTTTCTCTAATTCATGGGTACTTTTTTCTTTCTTCTATATCTAAATAGAAAAAACAATACTACTTAATCTTCTGTAAAGTTTTTCCAGAGATACTATTTTAAAGAAATCTTTGCATACAATAAAATATTTTCTATGGTAATTGTGTTTTATTTTCTATTTTCATATTGACTTCTCTGACAACTTTTAATGTGATGACTTTTTTTTTTTGGAGAGGCTTTTGCTATAGGGTGTGGGTGCTCGCCAGAAAGACAGAGAGGCAGAGAGACAGAAAGCAAGAAATCAGTCCCCAGGGGGGATGGCCACGCCACAATCCCTTCTCCTCCGTTCTCCTCTTGGGATCTTGGGCACGCACGCACATGCTCCTGTGGTTGACTACATGGAAGTCCAGTGACATAGCCATTATGCCAACTGCTGGTCCCAGTGACATGTATTTTTTAGCTGAGTAATCTTAGCAGTGCAGCTCTTCTATAAAAACTATAATAATCTACTTTCTAAGGTGTAGATGTTCTATAGATAGAACATTTCGAGATAATAAGAACTGTATGACATATATCTGTATATAAAATATGTGTTCTGGTATAACCAGATTCTTTTTCTTTATGAGAGACAGGAAGAGAGAGAGAGAGACAGACATTTGTGTCATAATATTCCTTCCCCAGTATCCCAACTTGCTAGATTGTATATAGGTGCATATAACTTTGCTGGGAATGTTCAGGTTGCCCTGGGAACTAGACCTAGGCCTCCCATAGAGCTTCCAGCCTCCCAAGCAGTGGCACTACTTCTGTGCCACCATGGCAGGAATCACTATATATATATATATATTTTTTTTTTTGAGAGGTTTTTGCTAAAAGGCGTGAGCCCTCACCAGAAAGAGAAAGAAAGAGAAACAGAAAGCGAGAAATCACCCCCCCAGGGGGATGGCCATGCCACAATCCCTTTTCCTCCATTCTCCTTTTGGGATCTTGGGCACGCATGCACATGCGTCAGGCATTAGTTTAAGGCACCAGGTCCAGGACTCAAACTGCAGTCGACTACATGGGAGTCCAGCGACGTAGTCATTATGCCATCTGCTGGTCCCTAGACATTTTTTAAACATAGAATTTCTCTTTTGAAAATATATGCATAATATTTCATCCAAGAAGAGTAAAAGTACCATCGAGGTAAAGGGCAGCTATTTATTCTACCTAGAGAAGGGACTCACTACCTCTTTTTTTAAGACTTTCATGACTTTAATTGATTGTATTAACACTTGCTATTTTTCTTGAGTCACTTCCAGATCTAGGAGCTACTCTGGGAGGACTGTTATGTGCTCTGTAAAAGGAATATAAGCAAGGTAGAAGTCACAGGGGTAAACCAGCTACCTGTGCATGACCAGAAACTGCTGTTCATAGGCATCTGCTCCACTTCTATCCACACTCATGTGCCCCTTTCAGGATTCAGAGGTCATGCTCTTACCATGTGTGGGGGGTGAATAGTGTTTCCTTAGGATTTGGGGTGTTTGCTCAACAGTGGGGACACATGAGCATTACTGACATCAAATAACTAGGTGATGTAGATAGAAAAACATGAATGGAGTTTCAGGCAAAAGAGATCAGACACACAGGGTTACAAAGAGTCAAATTTGCCGCATTCAGATCTAGTCCTATCAAAACTGTAAGTAAACAAAAGAAAGCTAATATTGAAAATTTATAATTAAAATGTATTTTTCAGAACGCTGCAAATGTAAGCCCATTAGAGCCACTCAGAAGACCTACTTCCGGAACAATTACAACTATGGTAAGGATCACTTCATGGTTGACTTATAAGCTGCTGTGTTGAGAAAGGGGTGCGTTGTGTGTGTGTGTGTGTATGTGTGTGTGCGCATGTAAAACGAGTACAGCATTTTAAGAATATGCTTGGCAATAAATGAGGAAGGACATCTTCTAAGAGCATAGTTTCCCTGTCCCAATCAGTGATAATATTGGGCCATCGGAAAAGTCATGACGTATTTTTTATGCTTTTCTAGGCAAAAATGTGTCAGGACTTTTCTGACAACCCAATAATTCATGCAAATAGGATTTTTTCTTTCTTTCTTTTCTTTTCTTTTTTTTTTTTTAGGATTTTGCCACAGGGTACATGCTCACTGGAGAAAGAAAGATACAGGGGAAGGGAAAGTGAGAAATCACCCCCCGGGAATGGCCACACCATAATCACTTTTCTATTCTCTTCTCAGGACTTTTGGGCATGCATGCACACATGCCCAGTGTGATTTTCAAGCCACCAAGTCCAGGTCTCAAACTGTTGTCAGCCATGTGGGAATCCAGTGCCTTAACCACCACATCACCTGTGGGCCCTAATGGACAGAATTCTTAACAATACTTGATACATAGGCTCCCTGCCCCAGTCAATTACGTTTCACAGAAACAAAATTCTTAACAACACTTGGTAGTGTTAAGGACTGGAAGTGATTAGGGCTGCGTAGGTCATCAGCTGTGCTTCATCCAGATGAGTGAAATAGCACTTTGGCGCACAAGGAACAGTGATAGTTAAATGTGCTCTCTTCAGTGAGTTTATTCCATGAAAAACACTGACAGAGTTGGAAAGTACTAGTTACACAAGTTGTTGAGAGTCAATGAAGGGGGTAATTCGTTATCTAGCTTGATCTATAAATTTCACAGTCTGATAAACTGAATACTAATGGAAGAGCCAATAATCTCAATGTGGTTGACAAACTTACTTGACAGGTGAGAAAGCCTACTGATTTTTGTTTGTTTTGACCAGGAATTGTGCTGACTGTTTTTCACATACTATCTTATTTAATGTTCTCAATTGTCCCATGAAATGTGTTATTATCCTAATTTTATCAATGGTCATTGAACCTAAGTTGTCCTTTCATTGATTATAATGTACTTTTGAGTACAGGTGTGTTTCAGAGTCATAAATATTAATTATCATGTTTAGAAGGGCCAATTAATAGTTTTCAAGTTGATAAATAAGGGACTAATTGATATTTACTGTATCCTATAGGTATTTGTGTTTTATTTATTTTCTGTTTCTATGTAATTAATAAAGGCCCTTTGCTATCTCTGTAGAAGATTGTTGATGCTGAGTCAGTGAGTAAACATACAGAGTAAATAGACTTTTTTAAGAATTATTATTTTATTCAACTTTATTATTATTATTATTACTATTATTGTTATTAAATTTGATCAGAGAAAGACAGGGAGAGAGGAAAACTGAGAAAGCAAGCCACCAGGTCTGGGCCTTAAACTGCAGTTAGCCATGTGGGAGTCTAGTGTCTTTAACTACCAAGCCACCTGCCAACCTAAGACTAAATAGACTTTTAAAGTAAACTTTCTTATTTAAAATGATAGTTTTTAAAAAATAGTTATTTATTAATTATTATTATTATTTTTAAAAATTTGACCAGAGAGAGAGGGAAGATGAAAAAGCATACTGCGAGGTCTGGGACTTGAACCACAGTAGGCAATGTGGGAGTCTGACAGTTTTACCACCACACTACCTCCCAGCCTCAAAATGAGTTTTTAAAGTTGTGTTTACCTACCCTATTTTATAAGCTATATAGGGCAGATGTATTTCTACTTCTATATTTTTAGGAGTTGGAAGAAGAAAAATTAGTAAAATTTCTATAAGGGCAATCTTCAATATCTTTGAAAATACTGTGTATTTAAAAGTATAAAATTGAAAACTCTTGGTGGTGTTAAATCTCAAAATAAATGCTCTTACTTTCTCAAATTTTTCTTCAATGGAATCAATTTTTTTTTGGGGGGGGGAGGTTTTTGCTATAGGGCACGTGCACTCGCCAGAAAGACAGAGAGACAGAAAGTGAGAAATCAGCCCCCCCCTGGGGAGATGGCCACACCACAATCTCTTCTCCTCCGTTCTCCTCTCAGGATCTTGGGCACGCACGCACATGTGCCCGGCATGAATTTTAAGCCACCTGGTCTGGAACTCGAACCATGGTCAACTACATGGTCAACTAATGGCGACATAGCCATTACACTAACTGCTGGTCTCCAATGGAATTAATTTTTATTCTTTGCTTATTATTCATCTTTTGAAAAATCTGACTTCTCTCAGTCAATGATGATGTACTTTACAGGATTATAAGGTCATATTCATATAAAAAGTTAAACGCATGACTGGTTTTCTCAAGACCTATTCTTATATAAATTGAAAGAGAAACCTCAGGAAAAAGGAGGCTTTAATTCTTAGGACAGTAGTTTTTAAAAATATTTATTTAGTTATTTATTTTACTTGTTATTATTTATTTTTATTTAATTTTACCAGAGAGAGAGAAAGGGAAAGTGAGAAAGGAAGCCACCAGGTCTGGAACTTGAACCAGAACCACAGTCAGCCATGTGGGAGTCCAGCACCTCAACCCCCACTCCACCTGCCAGCTCCAAGACAGTAGCTTTTTAAGATTGAAAAATGCTATGTGGACTTTTAAGTATTAAACTAAAAATAAAAACATAATAAAAACAGTATATCATAGAAACCTAAGTGTTTGTATTAATTTTTATCATCTTATAAATTTTTACTTTATCTGAATTCCTTAGTGCTGCAGTGGTTGGTGCTATTGTTTGTTTGTTTGCTATAAGGCATGTGTGCTTGCCAGAGGGACAGAGAGACAGAAACTGAGAATCACCCCCTAGGGGGATGGCCATGCCACAATCCCTTTTCCTCCAATTCTTCTCTCAGGATTTTGGCATGCAAGCACACATGCACAGTGTGTTTTAAGCCACCTGGTCTAGGACTCGAGCTGTGGTTGACTACGTGGGAGTCCAGCAACAAAAACATTACACTATCTGCTGGTCCTGGTGCTATTATTTTTATTTAAAGTTAAGATACTAGTGATTATAAGTCCTAGAAAGAGATGCTCTGCTGAGTGAACATTATGAAATAAAAATGGGATATGGATCTTCATATAGTCAAATCATAACCGTGTTGTGTTTAGTTTATGGGCAACTGTGACCTAACTACTTCTTTGGGAAAAGCAGGCATTCAAACAATTAAAGGGAAAGAAAAAAGGGAATATATTTTCACTTTCACATTATGTTGATTTCTGTCTTATACTTGTGTGTCTGTTGAGGAAATGAAGGTGGGAGGGGAGCAATCAGTAATTCCAACAAAACCTCTGCTTTCTTCAGAGTCAATTCTGTTAAAACCTCTAGCACTTTGACCAAATTACTTGGATAATAAAGCAGGTCTAGTAGAGAGCTATTTATTTTGGAATGGATGCCTGTGCTAAACATTTCTAGTGAAAACAGTAGACATACTGGGTAAATAAATCATTATTTGAGAACCTTTGTATCATTCACTAATCCCTAGTAGTTGATGGATGCTATGAAGCCCATCACTTAATCCAGGACAGAAAAATGTCTGCTAGCTGGGCTTGAGAATTTGTCATCTGATTCTTCCAAATGACATTTCAACAAGGGCAAGCTTATCTTTTGTTGTAATACAAAATACAGCTCAGACGGAAAGGAACTCCCCTTGCAA